GTTTGCTCCTCTCCTTGAAAAGAAAAAGAAAAACTCCTTAATTGGTACACAATCCCCCCCGGACACCCCCAATCCCACCCCACCCCAAATATAATCCACTCTGCCACCCTCATTCCGTACTCTTATGATAAACATAATGCCCTAAAATATAATACTTTTAAACTATTCTCTCCCTCATAGATTTCAATGCAGTAAACATAATTTATTCAGTTTTTCTCAGTCTTACCCCCACCCCGATGTCAGCCTCATTCTACAACAGTGGCACCATATAGCATTTGTCCCTTTGTGGCTGAGATATTTCACTCAGCATAATGTCCTCCAGGGTCACCCATTTTGAATAATATTGCATGAGTTCCTTGTTTTCAATGCAGTGTAGTATTCCATTGTGTGACTATACCACAGCTTCTCTACCCATTCATTTGTTGATGGACACTTAGGTTGTTTCCAACTCCTTGCTATTGTGAACAAAGCCATGATAAACACGGGTGTGCATATATCTACTTGGATGTCGTTTATGGTCTCTTTAGGGTATATTCCCAGTATTGGAAATGCTGGGTCAAATGGTATCTCTATTTGCAACTTTTTGAGAAAGCGCTACATCGCTTTCCACAGTGGCTGCACCATTTTAAACTCCCACCAACAGTGAAAAAGGGTTCCAGTTTCTCCACAACCTCGCCAGCATTTGTTGCTTGCTATTCTGTTAAATTTTGCTAGTATTCTGACTACTTTTTAAAAAAACAAACTCTGGTTGCATTCTAGGAATTTTGGAAGAAACAGTCTACTGATTTGGAATCATTCTGTGATGTGCAGTTGCTGAGGTATGTTTTTAAAAAGTATGTTTTCTAATTGTGTCCTAGCTCCCTCATATAGGCTACACCTATGGATATTTTCCATATTAGAAATTCAGGCTAAAATTTTAAAAGATTATGCATTTTTAGTAGGAAACTCTGATGGCTTAGAGGTAAGGAGTTGTGCTGCCAATCCAAAGGCACGTCATTTGAATCCACCAGTTGTTCCACTGGAGTAGGATGGACAGACTCCTTCGGTGCAATTAACTGCCTCTGAAAACCTGCTGGAGGGTCAGCTATGGTTTGGCTCTAACTCAACAGCACACAACAGTAACATACATTTTAAATAACAGCATTAAAAATGCAATATATTAATATAAAGGATAGATTGATATGAAAATGTAATCATGCATTTCAGAACCAGAGTCATGTGAGAAAGGAAGCCTTAATTTATGTTGTTGCAAATCTTGTCTGGCTTAGTACTGGACAGCTGGATTCTAGGATCGGCTTTTGAATTCTCTCTATTGTGGTATCATGTAACCTCTGGGAATTGTCACTATACATTCATGACAGATTGAGAATAGAAAAAGAGGATCTTGTCTTAGTATCCTATCAGAATGATTTTGACTAGATAGACACTTTGGAAGGTTAGGTTCTTTAAAGGCTTCCCCAGGGCATGCTTTGAGAGCTGCTGAAAGAAAGCAACTCTGTATTAGACATGAAGAAGATCATGCCACCTAGTTTTCTGAAACCTGGGGGATTTGCTTATTTTGCTTAAACCTCACTAAAGGCCATGATGCTTAGAAAAGTGGAGGGTGAGCAAAAGAGGGCAAGATCCTCAATGGGATGGACTTATACAGTGACAGCAGCAGTGGACTGAGCACAGTAGAGATTATGAAGCTGGTACGGAATTGGGGGTTTATTTCAGTTATACAGGGGCCACTCTGAGTTGGAGCCAACTCAATGTCACCTAACGACTCAGTTCATGCAGTTTCACACTGTGAGATATTAATTACTTTAAACAATTTTTATTTTTTACTGGTTTACTTACAAAGTTCATATACATTGTTTTTCACACCTAATCTTTCCCCTTTCCTTTACTTGATCTTCCTTCCACCCAGCAAATTATGTGACCCTATGCTTAAGCACTTCCTCCTTGATTCTACTCATTCTACAATAATGGTCTTATACAGTATCTGTGAAATGAGACTGAGTTCACTTAGCATATTGCTCTCCAGTCCCTCCTGTGTTAGGCAGTAATTTACAAAATCATTGCTTTTGTGCGCTGCATGGTATTCCATTTGTGAATGAACCATAATTTCTCAATCCATTTCATTGCGGTATTTTTTTGCTTTTATCTTTCTTGTCATTAAAAGCCTGTATTAATGTAAAAGATCTAAAATTGCTTGAAAAAGTAGAGGGTTTATATAGGAGAGGAAGACCCTTAACAAGATAGATTGACTATAACAATAGGCTTAAGTATATTGGAGATTGTGAGGATGGTACAGGATAGGGCAGGGTTCAGATCTGGTTTTCGAAGGGGCACTACAAGTCACAGTTGACTCAATGGCACCTAACAACTAAATTACAACTAATTCTTCTAAATATTCATCTCTCAAGATTTTGTGTTTGCCCTTCTTTCTTCAAACACATCTACACATTATTTGTTTAATAAATTGGAGATAGTGGTGATTCAGTTAACACAATCTTAAGATCTTGCCTTGTGCCAGATGTTGGCTAAGACCTTCATATGCAATAGACCTGTGATGTTCAGAGTAGTTATTTATCTTGATAATGGTCACATAGTTATCAAATGTGCTGTTGTGTTGTTGTTATGTTCCATCAAGTTGCATGTGACTCACAGCAACCCTATGTAAAACAGCCCTAAACCCTGCTTTAAGTTGTGCCAGTCTTATTGTCTCTGACACACCTACCCCCTATTATCCAAGTCATTGAATCAATCCATCTCATCGAGGGTCTTCCTCTCTTGTGCTGTTCCTCCACCCTTCCAAGCATAATGTCCCTCTCCGAGGACTGGTCCCTCCTTGCAACATGTCCAAACTTTGTCAGATGAGGCTTCAGAATCCTCGCCTCTGAGAAACAGTCTGGTTTAACCCTCTCCAGGACAAACCTGTTAATTATCTTAGCAGTCTTTGGTATATTCAATAATCTTCTCCAACACTACAGCACAAAGGCATCAATTCTCCTATCCTCCCTAATCATGCTCAGCTCTCTGATGCATAGCAAGTGATTGCAAAGACCATGGCCTGTATCAGGTGTACCCTAGTCTCCAAACTGACATCATTGTTCTTCAGTACTTTGGAGAGGTCTCTGATAGCATACTTTCCTAAAGCAATATGTCCTTTAATTTCCTGGCTGCTGGTGCCAAGAGTGTTGATTGTAGAGCCAAGCAAACTAAAGCTGTTTACAATCTCAATCTCTTCGCGATCCATCACAATGATACCAATCAGCTTAGTGGTAATATTCCTAGTACCATGGCCTCTTAGCCCAGCCTGCACTTCAGGCTGTTCTCCATTATGTGCTGTTCTAGTTATTTTTGGATAATCTTCAGCAGAACCTTGCTTGCATGTGATACTAATGATATTGTTCAATAATTTCCACACTTTGTTGGATCACCTTTCCTTGGAATGGAAACAAATATGTATCCCTTCCAGTCAGTTAGCCAAGTGGTTGTCCTCCAGATTCCTTGGCACAACTTGTTGAGCACATCTAGAGCAGTGTCTGTTTGTTGGAGATAGAATATAGAATTTCGCACAATCAACAATTTATTCATTGCAAATACATTTTATAAGAAACATAAACACAGGCTATACACATGGATTTCACCTGATGGTATGTGTAAGAATCAGATTTATTACATCTGTGGAAAGAACCACTAGAGAAGCTCAATGTCAGCTGTAAAACTAGGCCATGTCCTGATTGTGAGCAGACCACCAACTACTCATATGCAAGTTCAAGCTGAAGCTAAGGAAAATTAAGTCAAATCCACAGGAACCAAAATATGATTTTGAGTATGTCCGATCCAGAATTTCAAAACCATCTCAGGAACCAGTTTGAGGCCTTGAACACTAATGAGTGAAGATCAGAGGAGTTATGGGAGGATGTCAAATATATCAACTAGGAAAAGTGCAAAATGTCATTACAAAGATAGAAAAGACTAAAATGGATGTCAGAAGGGACACAATATTGCATTAGAGCACCGAGAAGCCAAGTAGAGGGAGGTAATCTAGATATTAAGGAACTGAGCAGAAGATTTCAAATGGCAGCATGGGAAGACAAAGTAAAATATATTGAAATTTGCAAAGAGCTGGAGTCAGAAAATCAAAGGG